TTTATTAGAATGTCTAAATTTTAAATGCCTATATGTGCCTGTCTATCTCTCTTCAGTAGTCGGGATATTTGTATGCCTATACGCCTTGTCTATCTTTATGTCTGAAATTGGGTGTTTTTGGTAATTTAGTCAAACTATCTTTCTGCTTTATTGATGGTGTTAATTGATTCAGCTCATTTAGAGTCTTCCCGGAAATGGCTCAAAAGGAACTGATTCATTATGTCAAAATTAAATTTTCCCTTATGTGCAACAGGATTAGGTAAACAAATTGTTTAGTTTGCCAACACTTCTTGATTTGTCCTTTTTTCTGGAGTTTGAAGATATAAAGTAGGAGAACTCGACTTTACAGATAGAAACTAGGAGTAGGAGATAGCTAGTTTTTACATATAGAAAGTTTGAGAACTGGAGTTTACAGATAGAAAGCGGGATAGAACTAGATTATTCAGTTAGAATGTAGGAGAACTAATGTTTGAAGTTTGTATCAAGGTTCAGGTTTAAATATCATTAACTCAATGTTTATGGTTTAGCACAGGTCTCTCACAAGGTGTGTTGTTTCATTTTTGTCTTTTCGTTAAAAGATGTAGTAGATTTATCTAGCGGTTTTGTTTTATACAAAGGTTTAAGGTTTCAGGTTTAGTATCTTTATTTAAAAATTAAGGGTTTGGTCAAATTTTTAACTCATTTGAATCATTTAAAGAAAATTAACGTTTTATTAGCTAAAACTTAACCTAATCTCTGTACAGCTCTTTATACTATAATCGGTGACAAACTAACTGTGGAAAGTTTCATTCTATTATATCTTACAAATCTAGTTAAACTAACCCTTACTTATCTGTAAAGTGTAAACAAAATGAGGAGTGAAACATATCCAGTTTTTGGTCCTAATTGAGTCAGTAGTAAAAGAACGGAGTTTTTGCCACAAACTAATTTTTTTTAATCCTTATTATGTTTAAACCTGTTTGTGTAAACATTTGATATTTAAAATTTAGGCATTCATATTTCATAAAATTCATAGTTTGACCAGGCGTGAAGTGGATGTTTAGCTTAGGGGGGTGCACTTTTTTGTGCACCCCCCTAACGATTGATTTGAATCCAACTACAAAACCGGTATTAAGAAAAAAAAACAATTTAAAATCTTAAAAGGCTGACTATAAATAATTTGACCATAATTACCAATGGAACAATTATAAAATCTATTCGTAAAGGAGCAAAAACCTTAAAAAAAAATATTTTTTATTTCTCATCAGATCATATTACATCATGACTATTTAAAGCTTTTTCACGATACCTAAATCTTTATTTTTTGGCGCTTTGTGAGAGAAAAAAATGTCAAAAAACATTGTTGATAGAAATGTTCTCAAATTTTTCTATATAAATATTCATTAACCAATAAATAGGACCGGTGGGTAATGTTTGCATATTATACATTATACATATTGATTAAGATTAACTTAAGGTACAAGAATGAATTTGAGAAATTATAAAATGGATAAATTGTGGCATTGTATATTAATAAAAAAGTAAAAAATCTAAATATATATGTAAGTAAAAAATCTGAATATATATATATATATATGTAAGTTTACTGTTTAACAAATTAGAGCCTGCCTCTTCCTCTACGNAAATTCTTTTCCTTTCACATTTCTATATATTCAACTCCAAAACCTATCCTTTTATATCTTAAACCTATAACTTTTACTTATTATCACAGAATATCTATTCTCTTTTCTTGCAGGGTCAATTGAAATTATATCTACAGTACCTTTAAAACATAAATTCTACAACATAGGTAAAACACCTCAGGTCAAACGACAAACAGTCAAAACGCAAAGGAAGGTAAAAGGAAGGTAAAAAAGGTAAAAACCTAACAAAATTACCATTTTCCACTCAGATTTACCCTTAAAAAAAATGAAATGTTAAAACTAATTTTACCCACAATTTTTTTTATGTTATTATTTAAAACAATTTGCTCCCATTTGTCCATCACAAATGGGACCCCTGTTTTGTGTTATGTTCATTTGAAAAAAAATTGTGCAGCGCACGGCTCCCTAGCCTGTCCTAGCTGTATTTTAGAAACTGTCTTAACATAACCCTGAAATATTGCATAAAATATTTTTTCTATTTTGACCCTTTGTCATGTGTTTGACTGTTTGTCGCTTGACCCTGTCGTTTGACCATAAGTTGTTTGACCCTATGTCGTTTGACCATAAGTTCTTTGGCCCTGTTGTTTGACCTTATGTCTTTTGACCCTATGTCTTTTGACCCTATGTCGTTTGACCCTATGTCGTTTGACCCTATGTCATTTGAGCCTATGTTGCTTGACCTTTGTCGGTGAACCAATACTCCAACCCAGGTTCACTGAAGTTATAAAATCATAGTCATGGCTTAATAAAAATAATCCAATTATTTTGCACAAAATATAACCTAACATAACCTGCCTTAGGATAAATCCTGGTTTAAGAGACATATCCATATAAACTACTTATTTAAACCTACAGGATGGAGACCTGACCTAGGATATCCATGTTTACGAAAAATCAATCTTCTAAACCGAGTCAAATAAATAGTGTGGAAGGTCAACATTTCCTATTAACATAATCATGGGTCTGTGAATACTTCATTATAATTAAATATTCTCATATTGTCTACCTTGAATATAAAATCCTGTGTCCGCCCCTGATTTTAACACATTACTCTGAATACGGCCCTATTCACCGCAATGCAGAGAACCCCATGCACATTATTTTTAAATAGCTTATGTTAAAGTTAAGCAGTCAACGTTTATAAACGAGGGGTGTGACTTGTTAAACAATCTTTAAACAAACAACTATTTTAATGCGAGTTAAGCAAGTACCCCTGTCATTTATTTGTTCTGCCTACACCCCTTTTCTTCTTTCTCCAGTGTGTACACTGTACGAGGCGAACAAATGTACTCTTATTAAATTAAGCAAAACTGAAACTTTCGCCGTTTAGAACTTTTCATGATTTTCATATATTGAAAAATGATCGTGTCTCAGTTATTAAGTGAAATGTTTATTAACTCTTCTATAGATGTTATTATCGCATTGCATAATGGATGCACCCCTTACTTATTTCATTCATGAATGCAGACTTCCTTTTGAATATAGCTCCCCTCCTATCAAATTTGTACATGGGTCTGACAGGAAGTGTCTTAACTTAACCTAACCCGCGGCCGCAGCTCTTGGCCCCCCAGCCTATCCTAAGCGCAGCGCTCGGCACAGAAAGTGTCTCGGATAGGATCAATGTCCTACATTAAAGATTAGTACATATTTAGGGTTAGGCTAGGTTAAGACATTTTCTGGGACCGGCTAGGGTGCCTAACCTAACCCTAAATATGTCTAACAAATTAATTATGTTACCAACTTAATTATAAAATATAAAATTGGTCTTGTACAAAATTGAGAGGAGGAGAGGGGGGGGGGTCCAAAAATAGTATTCTAGAACGGATTCTAAATGTTGAGACAAAATAGAAATTTTATTACCATTTCATCTTGAACGCTTTTTAGACCCTATAAAGTTATCTAGTAATGTTACTGAGTTAAATAAAAATTTCAATTCTTTTCATAATTTCAATATTTTTTATGTTCCGATGGTGTATTTTTAGACCTACGCCCATCCCCTCTACTGCCCATCCGACCTACAAACACGTGGTTTTAACAGCTGTGGTAGGTCCGATGCACTGTAGGTCGGATGGGNCAAAATCTCGCATAACTATGTATTTTTCCATTTTCCTGAAGTTTCATGGGATGATTAAATTTCCACTTATTTATATTCTTGGCCAACAAATGCATATAGGTTTTTAATAACAATAAGGGTGGGGGTTTGGGAGCGTTTATGGGAAATTGCACCACAGCAATAAGGGGAAAGTTGTGAAATTATTTATTATAACCCACTTGTGACTTAAAACATAAAACAAAGCAAAATAGCTAGCAAATTTTAAGGCTAGAATTTACGTGCATACACTTTTTGTTAACATAAGCACACAGGAGTGTAGAGTACATAAGTTGTGAGGCTCATTTGTTGTGCCCCACCCCCACCCCCCTTACTTTGAGAATAATTATTTTTCCCGCAAATAGACGACTTAAAAATAGGTGTATTCTACAAGTTTCTGAAGGCTGCAAAAAATTTACACCCTGTAAGATAATTTTTTTCATTAAATTTTTACGAATTGTTTAATTTTAGTGAGTTGGAAAGAAGAATGATATCATATGGACATGTTCCCAGTGCTGATCTAAAAGAAGTTGAGGTGAAAATTATTTTTATCAATAGAATCCCATATTTGTTTTGTTGTGCAAAAGAAATGTGTGTAACGTCACATTTTCCCATTTTTTTTTAACTTTGCAAGAATTTATTTTCTAGAGGGAGCAGTACGTTTTTCTAAAACTTTATTATATTCGATAAAACTTGACAGAAAAAAATACAGAATCGACCTCCTTTGTTTAAATTCTTAATCTGAGGGATAACCAACCTATCCTTGGTTTATATCCATTTGGGGAAAAGTAAAATAAATAAGAGGGACTGAAAGTGCGTGGTTTCAAGTGAGCCAAACATGACAATATTCCCAGTGTGACGTGATAATTGGACCGGCCGTGATAAAAGATGTTTCTGTATTTCGGCCTAAAACAACATTGAGCAAACTCTTTTTATAGGTTCCTTTAAACATTATCATATTGCGAATGATCGTTAAATAAATTTAAATGTGCAAGGGACAGAAGTTAAAATATCTATGATGTTAAATTTTTTGATAGGAAGACAACATTTAAACCAGAATATTGTATTTTACAGTTTTTTTTAGTACTACTACATTTTTTCAATTCATCATCAAAGTTTACAACTTTCGAGTGTATAAAAATGCTTTGATAATTTAAAATGTGGGGAAAGTGTCAATACTATTAAGAAATGCAATAAGCCGGATATTTTTTGCACAGCCGGGTCGATGATCACGTAACACCGGCACAATCATTAAGTTACAATGTTTATTTGATCAGACAAAACTTTCAGGAGTACTTTATCAATCTTTGCATGACAATTTATTTTAAATAACATTTACAGTGACCGAATTTAATGAATTTCTGCCGCGTTTCAAATCCACTTAAAAAAATATTTTTAATTATCTAATTATTTAATTAATACAATTTCAAGTGGAACCAATGGCATTACAGCAACTTTTCATTTTTGAGCGTCTTCAGTTCATATATTATATTATTCCTTGTTTCACGTTGGGAAACTTTCATCATAAATTTTCTTGACTTATTAATTATTTCATATTTATTTGTAAACAGTTTTGTTCTATGAGTTTCTCATTGACAATTCTTTACTTGAAAAATGTTGCTGAATTAATGAGAAGGAATGTAAGAATTCTGTGATTTTATTTGATTTGTTTTCTAGAATGATGTGACTGAGGCTAGGAAAAGATTAGACCTAAAGGAAGATAACCTATACCTATCAGAAGCTGCAAAAGTGTTAAAGGTATTGAATTTTAAATAAAGATTTGTATGACTTCTTCATTATGTTTTAAGGCTCTCAAAAAAATTGCCTGAAGTGGAAGGTTGCATGGGATAATTATTCTTAATAAATAGAAGAACCTTTAATATATATAAAAGTGTTGGGCTTTTAAGGCGCTTCGCGCCCATCTTCTATTTCAACTTTTAATTGTGGCTTTATCTATGAGCATCTTCTCTTTGTATAGTATAAAACAAAAACAAAACAAAAAGTTGGCGGATTTCATGATATTTTTTCGTGCATTTCCAAAATTTTACAAAAATAAAAACATTCAAACACAAATTTTTAAAATTTTTAATCATTCATAAACCTTCCTTAGGGTCACGTGAGGTCCCACACAAAATTTGGGCCCGATCGGTTCAGACGTTTTCACGTTTATTGAATACAAACAAACAGACAAACAAACATACAGACAAGCCAAATTTATATATAGATTAAGATTGTGTTAATGCAGGATAGCTCATATTAAAAAAATAATTATTAAAAGTAAAATTTGCTGAAGAAGGTGAAACTCTTTTCTTCAAAATATATTCGCATCAATATCCTAGTTATAGCAATTAAAACATGCAGTTCCCACTAGTCATTACATAATACAATTATATTTTGTTTGTAGAATCCTGGGCTGGCAGTGGAGACCTATGAATCTGAGGATTTTGCCGGCAGGTATTTGAAACAAATTGAAATGTTTAACAAAATTTAAAACAAATAGTTTGAAATAATTTGAAATAATTTAAAAACAACTAATTCTGAAAACGTATCCACCACAAAAGCAAGATTTTTGACCGTCGAATTTGCGCTCAAACTCCGGAATTTCAGATCTTTTAAAGTATAATATGTCTCAAATGAATCCAACAGAAGTTTTCCACAACACTGCATACTTAGTTCAACGACCTTACATAGCTGGTCACTACCTTTAAATGATTTGTTTGTAATACAATTTTTGGCTAACCCTTGAGGCATTTACAGAGATTTATAGGCAGGGTTTGTCCCATTTGGCTTGATCAGGGTAAAAAAGAGTGGACTAGTTCTTGCAAGCGCAAAAATATGTTTTTCACATAGGGACAAACTTATTGTTGGCAAGAGGACTATTGTTTCACCCACTCTATGAAACTTTGAATTCGCCATTGCTTAACCCTATTTAGCCTGACGTTTGGTTTACTGAGTAATTGCATTGTTGAGTGGGAATGTTCCAGCTGGCCCACCTCTCTCTATTTTATTAATGTGTTACAAATCTAACGAATTTTATACGTTTTTGGAAATTAGTAATTGTGTAATAAGATTTTATTAAAACCCCATTCAGGGGAGATCAGGCCTATGAAAATCTACACGAATTCTGGTGTCTGACTTGGTTCAAACATGTAAGTTTAGTAAGCTAAGTTTAATGTTAATCACAACGGATAAGACTCATTTAGTCTGGGTGAGTGCAATGCAATGCAATGTAGAATGTAGATTGCCTGAGGAAGGGAAATGCAAGCAGATGTAATATTAAAAGAGCCCCCCTTGTACGCCCCTTAAGGGTGTGGGTAAACGACGGGATTATCTATGAATTCCCTTGGCAACTAAAAGTTTCCAATCTAGTCTGTAATAAATTAATAAATAAATAAAACATTCACCCTTAACAAAGGCAAACGGTAGGGGTTAATTGTTTACGTTTACGTTTTTTTTTGGTTTAGTCCCCAACAAACTTAGTATATTTATTTCACGACAAACCATTTTCACTGAGATGTTCAGGATATCACGATCTCAGCTAAAATGGAGATAACTTCATTTTTGGCTCATCTGACGAAGGAGAATGAGGTTGAAGATGTAGACAGGTAAAGTGAATTTATAGTATACAAGCTGAAATGTCGAGTATTTGCTGTGAAAAATTTAATTTTAAATCAAGGAAAATAGGTTTTCGAATGAAAAACAACGATATAAAATATTTGCAGGGTGGCCAATATGTACGGATTGTACGGTTTGTTTTTTTTTAACCCTAAAATTGTACGGATTGTACGAATTGTACGGGTTGTACGGATTTGTTTTCAAATAGTTATACGGATTTTTATCCTGGAAAATACATTTACGGATTGGTTTAAAAAATGTACGGATTGTACGGATTTTAAAAAAATGGACGGATTGCACGGTTTTTTTTTCGAAAATTGTACGGATTGTACGGATTTCTTCTGAAAATGTATTGATTTTTGTATGTATTTCTTCATAAAAGTTTTGGCCACCCTGTATTTGTAAAGTCGTTCAATTTTTGGTCAACAGGGGCATTAATTATGAGTAATGCTTTTTAATTTAGAACACTAGCTAAAGTGTCCAAATATATATATATTTTCAGTAGTTATGATGTTTAACTATGTAATTAATGATGGAAATAACTCAATTTGCTTATGGTCATTTTAAAATCTACATTGAAAATATTATAATTTCAAAATTGTGCTTAAAATTTTTTTTCTTTACACTAAGCAAAGTTTGTAGCCAAAAAAAAATTTATGCCAACAAAAACTGTAATTAAATACAAAATTTGTTATATTTCATCTTTTTTCTTCAATGACAAGATAAAAATGATTGGAACACGTACTTGAAGACTTGTTTTTAATGTTGTCTAATAATTTGCATAAAAAAATTGTTTTCATTACAGTTAATTTTATAGATTTTCACATCCTAGCAAAGTTAAAAATGATTAACAAAATTTAAAACTTGTTAAAAGTGATATCATAGTTTTATTTTAATAAATCGCATTTTTTACAAACTTGATTTTCTGAAAACGGTAGGGAGCATACTCTTACTTAATACTTACTACTCTTCTGATCAATTTTTTTTTCATTGTTTTTACATGTATTTATTTATAAGTCTTTCCAATAAAACTTTACTGTTATTGATCACTTTTTGCTGGTTTACAGGTTAATGTGTGGTTAACAAACTTACAGACATTTCAATTTGATTTTATCTACATATTTAGGCTGCTATTTTACATCGAGAAGATGGACGAAAACCTTCCTGATCTCACTGAGGAGTTCAAGCAGTTTTTTTTCATTGATTTATACCTGTTGTCCCCAGAGGTTTCAGAATTTAAAGATGTTGACATTGTATTTACCTCCCAAGTGAAGCCGGTTTAACCTATCGACCTGTCACCTATTTGCAAAACTTGGCATATATGTAGGAAGGATCTGGAATAAAACGAGACGACATTTGGTTTAAAAATGAAGGCGCTAAAAATTAAAAACCATACCCGGTCAAAATTGACCGTCCCGTCACGAATGGGTTAAATACAAAATTTGTTATATTTCATCTTTTTTCTTCAATGACTCAAGATAAAAATGATTGGAACACTTGTTTTTAATGTTGTCTAGTAATTTGCATAAAAAAATGGTTTTCATTACAGTTAATTTTATAGATTTTCACATCCTAGCAAAGTTAAAAATGATTAACAAAATGTAAAACTTGTTAAAAGTGAAATCATAGTTTTATTTTTAAAAATCGCATTTTTTACAAACTTGATTTTCTGAAAACGGTAGGGAGCATACTCTTACTTAATACTTAATACTCTTCTGATCAATTTTTTTTTTCATTGTTTTTACATGTATTTATTTATAAGTCTTTCAAATAAAAATTTACTGTTATTGATCACTTTTTGGTGGTTTACAGGTTAATGTGTGGTTAACAAACTTACAGACATTTTAATTTGATTTTATCTACATATTTAGGCTGCTATTTTACATCGAGAAGATGGACGAAAACCTTCCTGATCTCACTGAGGAGTTCAAGCAGTTTTTCATACAGGAACTGTTGTGGTTAATGGGGAAATGGCTGTTCTTAAAGGACAAGGTGTGTTATAGGACAAAATCAACTATTAGAAATTGAAAGAAAATAGAATCCAAATAATTATTATTTATCAAGATGATATGAATTATTGTCTATATTTAATGTATATTATTACACGCTCCGATCATTAAAGAATGTAAATTATTACACTAGTTGAAGAAAATTCATTCTTACACGCTCCTTATATTAATCTTGTCAACATAGCTCAATATGGGAAATAAATTAATTATTTTGTACTGACAAAATTTTTTTTTTACATTAATACATGTAAACTTACCTTTTTATTCTTTAAAACAACATGCTCAGTGCTCACATACCTTTTTCTTTAGTATTAAAACATGTAAACTTTCCTTTTTTACTTTAGTAAAACATGCAAACTTACCTTTTTCTTTTTTTGAAGTTTTGATATACCTTAATTCAGTAATATCCATTTAAATCTCAACCCTAGTCCTGTGTTAAATTATAATTTTCTGAAATTCTGACCTTTCCAAAAAATGGACAATTTCATCCAACTACCATGTCTCAAAGACTGCCCACTGTATTATTTTTTTTTGTTAATCTTCATTGCAAACCAAGTTTGGCGAGATTTTGCAAATCTCTGCATACTTGTAAATAGTACACTCTGAGCTTTTCAAAAATGGAAAGGCTGTCATGTCAAATTTTTTTTTACTTTATATTAAAAAGGGTCTCCAAATTTCCAAATTCATCTGTAATTATTAAAAACATTAAAAATAATCTGAAATTATCTGCGGCCTTCATTAAAAAATACATCAAGATTATTTCATCTCGTTTTAGAATTTCAATTATTATTATATTGTTTTCCTCATAAGATTATCATATTTTTTAGAACTCCAACCTGCGAGAAGTATCACTATTAGTGATACAGGCCTTTACTGAAATTTCTGTACCAGAGCAGCTAATAATTCTGGGAAAGAATTCTGTTCTCTGCAGAGTTGAGGAGGCTGGGAAAGTGCTGTGTATTATTGCAGAGAGGTAATTTGAATGTGTAAATAACAATCAATCAATCTAAGAAGCTTTTAATTTGTGCAAATTTCTATCGCTTGTTTTAGAAAATTGAGGAAAGTGTTATTTTTGGAACTAATGTTCCATCGATTTTGATGTAAACTTAAAACCTTTTATTCTGTTTAAGTATTTTTTTCTTATCTCGCATTAGGTTTGCAATATAAAGTTTTTTAGAATTTAGTTCATTTCAGTTTGATTATATTCCAAAATATATTAAAGGTTTGGCTTTGAAAAGTTTTATACGTTACTGGATCTAGAGAATGTCAACGGTAAACTGCAGGCCTTATTTCCAGGTGTTGATATGATTAAACTTTTCTATTTTTTTCTTAACATGTATACATTTTTTAACTAAACTGAACAGTTTTTTAATTGATTGATAGAAAGATAGATTAGCTGTACAATAACAAGAATTATTGATTTGAGTACATAGTAAATCAGATGATATTTTTGTATAATATAGAATTGTTACAAATTTAAAAAATTTTAATTCTCACTCTGAATAAAATTTTAATCCTGGTAGAAGATATGATCAGGAGAAAAACAAACTTAGCATTCTATGACGATGTTAAGTTAATACAATATTAGGCATCCCCACCCATTATATCAATGTTGTTTTAGAGTGCGTTAATATCATCAAATATGACAGTTTCCAAGTTGATGAAATAAAGCTTCAGTCTGCCTTCAGAAGTATGGAGAAAGCAGAGACCTATGATGTTTCTATACATCGCGATGAGGTTGTAGGATTTCTCCACAATAATCCTACTGAATCTAACTTCCTCTCATATGATATTTTCCAAGGTAACTTAAACAAATTTTTATTTAAAGCTTCATGTGTTATAGGGAATGTTCACGAAAAATGAAAGGGGGTATAGGTTTAATGTGATCGCTACTAATCTAACTTAAATCTGGAATTAAATGAAAGATTTCAATATCTAACAAAATAAAGGGGATGGTTAAGATGTCTTAATTGTTTGAACTAAGGCTTTTTAATCTTACACAAAATGTTTGAAAATATTTAACTATGCCTATTCTACTATAGGTGAAAAGAAACATAAAATATAGGAAGATTTTAACCAAAAATTAAAGCAGCAACCCCCCCCCCTCCTCCCTGTCATCAAATAGGACTTCATTACCAACCCCTGTATAAAATTTGTAATTAAACTGAAATTGTTATTTACCTAATTTTTGATTATTGTTCACACTTTTGCAATGAAAGTAATGTTCATGACCTTGATAAATATTCATAACTAATGCAATACTTTGCTGTTTTGCTTTAAAATATTAAATTGAATTTTCTCAGCACCGTTCAAGAAAAGGGCATTCATACTGGGGAAACCTAACTGGATATTGCAAGCTTGGTATGTGAATTAAAAATGATTTTTTCAATTTTGGAATCTTGACCAAAGTAAAATTAAATTGACTTTACTGCATGGAACCTATATAAGAACTCACAATTCAACACTGTAAAGGGGGTGAAGGGCTAAACATACTTGTTTAACTGTGAGTGTAGTTTTATAGAGATTTTTTTTTCATAGGATATTATTGATTTAAAAGAATTCCTTAGCAAAATATGTTGTGCCTGTTGCACAGTAGAATGCGTAAGTTTAATGGAGCGTTCGCGAAAAATGAAAAGGAGGTGTATGCTTAATGCGATAAAAAAAGTGCTTTTGATCGCTACTAGTCTGTAAGGAGAAAATTTTAATAAACAACTAAAACCGAAGAACATAGTGTCCATTTAAATTAAGAAAGATGCAACATTCAACTGGGAACGTAAAGAAATCAATTTAATTCCAAACAAATCATTGTTATATTACAAACAATAGTCATCAGTTATTTTTCGACGCATTCGTAAATGGTTGATATTTCATAGTATTTTGTATTTTTCATGAGCTGAGAGTTACTTTTGAAAACATTTATTCCTGTTTCTTGGATTTTTCATAGTGAAGACGACATTTACTAATTTCCAGGAATGTTTGAAAATCCAGCGCCAGCGAAAATTGTTTAAAAAAACAAGATCTAAAATATTATGAAATATTAGCTAGATACGAATGCTTCGAAAAATAATCGATCACTACTGTTAGTAATATCTGAATGATTTGTTTGGAAGTGAATTGATTTGTTTACGATCCGAGTTGAATGTTGCATCTCTCCTAATTAGAATGGACGCTGCGATCTGCGGTGAGAGTCGTTTCTATAAATTTTCTCCTTATAAACGCAACAGATAAAAGTAAGATTATTAGCGATCAAAAGCGCTTTTTTATTGCATTAAGCCTAAACCCCCTTTTATTTCTCGCGAACACTCCCTTTAACTTTGTGATGAAATTTTGAAATTGGACATTTGGGAAGTTGATCTTTGGTAAGAGACCTAAAACCTTAACGCTTTGAGAATTTATTTGAATTATTGACCAGCCTCCCTCTGATGTTAGTGACGTAATTTGTGTTATAAGTCTTAATTAATTATACATTATTTATAATAATGAAGTTAAAGTTTCATGCGTCACCATTTATCTATTTCTTCCATCAAAACTATAATTTAGGTAGATGTAAGATAACAGTGAAAATACTTGATGAACCAATGATGTGTACAAAGGTCAACATCACCGTGAAGATTGAAGGATTAATTGGAGGGTATCTCTGATATTTTCTAAATTATTTCTCGCATTTTTCTTGTAGTTTGCACTGAGTGTATTATGCCAAATTACAGTTTGAAACTCAAATTTACCGTACTCCTGAAAACATTTTTAATGTCGTCCCAGGGATAATACATAAGCTTGAAATATCTTCCTTGGCCTACTTTATTCATAAACTTGATAAGAAAGGTCTTCTATAGACCAATAAGAATATCTCTGTATTACTTGTTAGCTAAAAGTTTAAAGGGTACGTTTATAATTAAAACACTTAAGTTTTAACAATGGATTGTTAGTTGAAGTTATGTGTGCAGTACCTTTAAATAATATTGAATTGAGCCAACAATTTTTACATCAAAATTTTCCCTAGCAAGTCTATTGATGACTCCCAGCCCACCAGCACCTTGGGTGCTGTGCAGAAAATGAAGGCTGACCAGAAAGATCCAAGAGAAGATATTTTGAGGACAATCAGGTTAGGTCCCTTTTAAAGAAAAAGTTGAAGAATCAGATTCAAAAAAGTTTAAGAATCAGATTCAAACTCGTTATTTAAAACTGGCATGCAAGGAAGCCCCGAGCATTTAATTTAAATCAAATACTTTTATTTAACTGTTAACTTCGAATTATTAGAATGATTACAAAGTATGATACGATTGCAATAGGACTGTAAATGTGTCAGGTTCTAGTCATTAGAGTGAATTAGTTTTCCGTAATGCGCATAAAAAAATAATATACCCTGTAAAAAGAGGGAGGGACACTTTACCCCACATATTTACTTCAGAGCCATGGTAGATAGTAGATTGTCTTCCGAGTCCCGCAAATCTTTGCCAGAGCCCATCAATTCAACCTTCAATTCATGAAATATAATGGTTGAACGGACTGGCGAAGTTTTCCTCTTCCTTTACCACTCCCTTGCCTGCACCTTCCCCTTTTTCCTTATTTTTCCCATTCCCTTTCCTTCGCACATTTATCATACCCCGTATTTTCCCTTATTTTTGTTTATCTTCCCTTCTTCATTTTGTCCCTTCATCTCCCATTCCCCTTTTCCATCAACTTTCCTCTGTTCCAATACGATTTACGCCATCTTCCTTTACTGCCAATTCCCGTTCTCATTCTCCTTTCTCTCCCTTCTACCTTTTAAACGTACACTTGTATCACTGTTAACCCTTTGTATAATTTAAATATGTGATTATTTGAATGTTAAAGTCCAAGCAAGTTTAAAAGATAAAATATTAACCCATATTAATGAAATGTTATTGGGTAAGATTTGTATAGCTCTAAAGTAACTGCGTTGTGATAAACCATTGAGCTGTTCAAGTGTCCTGTTGCATTAATTTTATTAAAATTAGCCTGTATTAGTTATCTATCTATTATTTGTGAAAACAAATCTTCCGATGCTTTGGCTTGGATGAAGACTTGCTTGGTGATGAAGGCTCTGGATGCCGTGTCCCTCTCTCATACAAAGCATTGTTATGATTAAAGCGAAAGTGTTAAATGATAATAGTTTCTCAGTGGCTTCTCATACAAGATATGCACAATTTAAATGGGAAATCAGAATTTTTAAAAATTGGGGTAAAAAAAATTATATATTAATTCTACTTGACTGTACCTTTTTGATTCTGATACAAAATGTTGACCAATATAATGTGTTTTTAAATTATGTTTTTGTTCCCCTTTAAAATAAATTTTTTTTAAATTTTATCAATAATGTTTCATATGGTAGGATTCTAAAGCAAAACGGAGTGGCAAGGAACGAGATTTACATAAGATCCTTTGAGGAGGAGAATTTAAGGTTTTTTTGCATTTGTTAAAAAGTTGTCCTTTACTTTTCTTCTAATTTCCCCCCTTTTTTTAAAGAAAAAAAATCTCAAGATGTTATGTGAGAGATTTCTTTTTGAGTTTTATTCACAAGAGTTTTGAGAAATAATTTTTAAAAAGCGAAAAATAATATGAAAATAAGTTAGTAAAACTGAATAAAAATTTAAACTATTAATGATCATTAAGACTTTTATTGATCATTGAGATTTATTTTGAGGCGGAGAATTTAAGGTTTTTTTTTGCATTTGTTCATACCTTTTTCTTTACTTTACTTCTAATTTTCAACTGTGCAAATATGTATATGTACAGCAAATGTTTTTTTTCAGAGTTCTATTCTTTGACAAAGAGCAGTTGGAGTACACTAGAAAGCTACATAAAGATCATTCTTGGGAGAACCCTCTCATTGTAGCTTTTGATTCAAGGTAATTACTTTAATATTCACTGAAATGTAATGATTATGCATATTCCAAAGAAGCTAAGTTAAACACCCCTCCCCCATTGTATTATAAAAAAATCTGATGACAGATTTTTTTTGGAGTAAAATTTACAAGAGTTTTGAGAAATAATTTTTATAAAGCGAAAAATACCATTACAATATGTTAGTTAAACTGAATAACCAAGAATTTTATTTTGAAACTGTATAATATTTACTGTTGTAGTTTTTATGGATCTAGTATTTGGAACTTGAGTTCCCAATGTGTTTCGAATTGTATACAGCACGGAATACTGCTATTAGAATTCTTTTTAATGTACCTAGAGATACACATAGGTACTTGATTGAAAGTATTTCTCAATGTTTACATGTAAAAACTATGTTAGCTAGCAGATGTGTGTCTTTCTATGAGACTATTGAGGCAAGTTCTAAGATTTGCATTAGATTTCTTTCTAATTTATGTAAAAATGACCTCAGCACAGTTCTTGGCAGAAATTTATTTTGTATGGCAAATGATTGTTCTGTAAATCCTGCGGATCTTAGTAAAATGTCAGTTAAGAAACAAATGAAATATTTAATGTCCCATTGGGACATGACAGAAAGTTCCGGTTTTACAAGAACTTTTAAATACAAGAATGAATAATTTATATGTTGAAGGATTCGATGATTACATAATAACTGAAATGATAAATATGTTATATAGTGAGTAAAAATCAATGTTTTCTATTTGTCCATAATTTTGCACACTTTCTTTTTCTCTTTTCCTTTGGAAACCTGTATTTTCAAAAAAAAAATTTATTTAAACAAATTTAAACTACACCATTTATATATGTATTTATATCTTTGTGTGTGAATAAATCTTTCTAATAATATAATAAATATTTTAAACTATTAATGTTCATTGAGATTTTTTCCATCATGAAAAACACAAGTATTTTACCAAATGAACAGTTTGTCAAAACAAACTTAAATAAAAAAAATGTTTTAACAAATGAATTATACACAAACGATTTAAATGAATAAATCATTTTCATTTAATTAGAAAACTTAAAAAATAAAATTGAAAATGAACAATAGTTCTGATAACTAATTAAGGCGAATTGTTTTTGAAAGACAGAACAGAAACCACAACTGAAACAATAACTGTAAAAATACATTACGTGATTAGCATAACTTATGTTTACATTGTTTAAATAGTTTGTACATTTTGCAGTGGAAAACTGTTCAATTATCCTCTAACTGGAAAAGGACCCAGGAAGCATGTTGGTGTCTTAAACTTCGCAGGAGTTGGTCCAGGTAGTTTAATATTCCATGTTTATCAATATAAAGTGTGAGTCAAAAAAAGTTATAACTGACGCCTGGGGGAAATTGTACCTTTTTTGTGCAATTCTCCTGTATGTGTGGTGTTTTATTAATATTTGTTGAAAAATTTTAAATATTTTGTTGCTATTCCAATGGCTCAATAAAGGTCCTAGAACCTTTTCTTCTCTGAAAATCAAAAGTTCAGAAAAGCAAACATGTGCATATAATTTATTTTTCTCAAAATCCAAAATTTTATAAAGATTGAATAACAGAATCACAGAAAATTCGCGAAATTATAAACATAAAATTTGCAAATTCACTTCTGGTCTAAATTTGTTTTTAATTTTCTATTTCCTTTCTTCATAGTATATTCTAAAGTTTTAAATATACGCTGTTCATTTGAAATCTGCATAGCCATTGGAAAACAATATTTCTTAAACAATTTTGCAAGAACCTGAAATTGCAAATTTTCTTATTACATTTTTGCAAATTTTCTGTGATGCTGTTTTTCAATCTTTATAAAATTTTAGATTTCAATTCTAATAATTTATATACACATTTTTGCTTTTCTGAACTTTCGATTTTGACAGAAAAAAGGTTCGCAAATATTTTTTGGACCATTGGAATACAAACAAAATTAATTTTTTAAAAAATATTGAAAAACCACCATACAGGATAGTTGCACAAGAAAGTTACAATTTTGCACTAATCACATTTTTTTTTACTCTTCCTGTATATAGCTAGCTGAAGTGACCGGCGTTGCCCGTTTAATTTTTAAAACACTTTTTTTAAGCAAATTTTCTTACTAAAATTTTGCAAATTTTCTAAAATTCTGTGATTGAATCTTTTTAAAATTTAAGATTTAGATGAAAACAATTTATTTGCACATTTTGGTTTTTCTGAGCTTTTAATTTTGAAAGAAAAAAAGGTTTATTCAAATGCTTAAATCACTTATTGTTAGTATTGTTCAGACTTCAGTAAAGTGCTACTCCTGTATTAATACATTCAAAGATTGGTATTTTTGTTTAGGAGGCGTTTGTTTAATGGAACAAGTCAGTGAAAAAAGCACTAAGGTTGAATTGTCGCTAGGTAAAAACCAAATTAAAAGTAATGAATATTATTTTAAGTTAGTCAGGGGTGGAATTTTTAAAATTAATAAATGAACATCAGCAGTCTTTATTTTTGTTCATTTTTAATACTTCTTTAACCCAAACGTTCTTTATATTTACTTTAAAATTACTAATTTTAGGAAAGTTAAAAAAACTTAATTTTTTTTATGCTCTGTTCAGCATATCTAACTTACAAAAATTAATTACACCCATGAAGATAATAAATATAAAATTACTAGTAATTAAGCCTGTTCCTGCTGTGGGGGGGGGGAGGGGTCAATTATCCCCCCTCCCTCCTTGTTATATTGTTTACATAACTAAAAAAGTATTGGTCTGAGGCTGTTGAAATTTTCTGACTTTTCCTAAATACCAAAAGCCCTCGATCCCTTTAGGCACACTACCTAAATGACTGTTTTTTCCCATAACAAACTAAATATTGGTTTTTCCACACTTTCAGTTGTCAGTTTGACATAAGAAAATGGATTGCACAAGTTTTGCAAAGAAATTTTTGCAAATTATTTGCAAACAGCCCCTCAAAGGAAGTTTGCACATTTTTAGTTTTTCTATATTACACATCAGGTTATTTAAAATTTATCAAACATTTTTGCATATTTGAAATGACATGGTCAATGGTCAAGGGGATTTCAAAATGTTTAAATTATTTTTTTTGGCCTTTTTTTTTGCAAACATTTTCAATATATAAATGTATTCTGAAAAAATTATTAAAATTTTTGCAAATTGGTTCGAAGATTTTTAAAATAGGGCACAAGAGCTTTCCAATGATGTATCATTCGTCATATTTGGAGCTCAAACATTGGATTTAGAGAGGGGGGGGAGATCAAATTGCCCCACAAGCAGGGAATTGGGTTAATAAAAAACTCATAGATACACATATTCCGTCCTCTTCATTATGGTACACTGATTGACAAATATAAATAATTATATTTGGTTTAAATAAAGCCTTTCATTTTATAGGATTAACAGAATGGTCCGTCTCTGTTGGAGTGAAGGATCCTATTGCACAAATCTATATATCCGATTTTAGCTGGCCGATAATTAACTCAGTATTTAACTCTCTAATGAAGACATCTGTTGAAAAGTATCTAGATGAGAGATTCGAAGGAATTGTTTAATTTATGTTGAAACATTAGGTAGTAAGATGTAAAAAATTTAGGAAATGCAATTGTTCAGAAAATAACATTCAAAATTCAAACGAAAAGATATTCTCACAAACAACCAAAAATAAAAACATTGATAATTTTGAAACTGGGTCTAACACAAATTATTTACAAAATGGGAATGTAATCTAAATAAATATCAAAAAACAACAAATTTACGCGATTCGAAGATTAAATGCATAAATAGTCATTTTGTTAATTTGAATTATCCTATTGAGCAAAGCTTGAGCTAACTATTTAAAAAGAAAGAAAAAAAAATTAATCAATTCAGCAATGATGAATCAAGAACCTCCATCTGAAACTACTGCTGTTTATTTAATAGACAAGCTGCACCTGGTCCCCATTTTCCTTAAAAGGTAAATTCGCACATATCATAATTGTTCCACTTCCTAAATCCTAATTTACTTATTGTGATGTGAGTTATGCTGGTATGAAAGTTTTTATGTTTATATATAAATATGTTTTTATATAGAACAAAAAATGATTGTCTTATTTTTTGATGCACATTCAACAATTTGCTAACTAACAATTAAGTAACTTATTAATATGGTAACTTATAAATATGGTAACTTATTAATATGGTAACTTGTAATTATGGTAACTTGTAATTATGGTAACTTATAAATATGGTAACTTATAAATTGATAACTAATATTTTAGTAACCTTACAATTTCTTACAATGTAGAAGTTTGCTTTCATTTAACATACAAATTTGTTTTACTATGTGATTGAAAGTTTCTGTAAAATGAGTCTTACATTTCTCCATCCTTACTTCACTAAAGTTTTGTTTTCAAAATAAAATAAATAGAGATTTTTACCCTGCCTTTATTCAGTACCTTCTCTGAAAAGTGGAAAATGAGAATAAATATTTTGACTAAAAAACCAAAAGTTGATAAATTCAGGGCAAGACAAATGGCAGGGAAGGAAGTTGGAGATCTATTCTGCAAGGAAATGTCATAAAGGATATAACTAAAAATAAATTTAGATGCATTTTCATAATTATTTTATAATAATTATAATTTGTATAAGTAATTTTTCACTAGTAACTAACTTTATGACGTATCATATCTAGGTTGTTCTTAAGATTTTGACTGCAAGGTCTCTAATGGCTATAAGGTATTACTTAAAGGCACAATTTTAATGCAAACTTTAGCTGAAAAATCGAGTTTTTATAGTTGTGGTTTGGAAATAGTCAAAGGCTAAATTTGTTTTGATTTCTAACACGAATTTTTAATGATTTTCAAGTTGACAGCTTTTCCACAATAATTTCTTTATATTATTGAAATTGAAAATTTGCAAGGTGTTGGCATGCATATAAACACCGTGATTGATACAGGTATAATGTACTTTGCTTCACTTTAATAGCACATTGGTAGAGATACTTTAACAATATTTTCTCTTATGATAAAAGCAAGTTCCTCGGCTTAAAGTTGGAAATATTAAACGTTTCACAAAATTTACATGCCTGGTCATGAAGTCACTTAATCATCATACAACGGGAAATATTATGTGTGATTAATTGTTAGACAGTAAAAGAAAAATTGCATAGATCGTATAATTGAATCTATCTATAAATTTGGCTTGTTTGTCTGTCTGTTTGTTTGTCTGTTTGTTTGTATCCAATAAACGTCAAAACGGCTGAACCGATCGGGCCCAAATTTTTTGTGGGACATCTAGGGAGCCCAGGGAAGGTTTATGAATCATCAAAATTTCAAATATTTGTCTCTATCAAAATTCGATCGTCATTAAATTTTTTAAAATTTTGAAAATCCGCGAAATTTTTTGTAAAAATCCGCGAATTATTTTTGTTTAGTTTTACGATGTACACAAAGAGAACATGTTTACAATTAATTTAGAAGATGGGCGCGAAGCGCCCTCTAAGGCTAGAAAGAAGGGCGTGAAGCGCCTTGAATTTCTAGTCTAAATAAATTTAATAAAAAATATGTGTGCAGGAAGTTGTGGGTTGCAGCAATGAAAGTTTTTGCCGGAGAAGATGTGAGTGAACAGAATAAGGAGGATCTTGTGGAAATCTGTGGCAGAATTGATCTTGGTATATAATTTTTTTTTGTTTGGGTGTGGGGGAAGAAATTCCTGACAAAGTTTTTAAAAATTTGTTTCCGACAATTTATTTTTTGAGTAACCAGAAATATAAATTACCATGTTTACTTTCTTTTAAGTAGCACCGTGGTTTTTTTTTAAGTAAATACATACTTATTTGTTCGACATGAATGAGAAATGCATTTGAATTAATTATAATAAAAGTTAATGATTTAGGGGTTGTAGAAAAGTCTCTGCAAAACTTGGAGAATGTAGATGACTGTTATGAAGTTCAGGAGTTTGGTGCCAGTGCTCTAAGAAAAAAAACGAAGTCTTTTCGCTATTTTTCCAAGATCTTTGAGCAATACGTAGGCAAGTAGTTTAGGCGATGTTCATGTGTATTGACTTTGTTGATTTTGTTTTAATATTTTTTAAATTTTTGCATAAAAATGTTAAGTGTTATTTCGGTATGATATCCAAATACTTAAGTTCACAGGCACACTCAAGTATTGTACTCTTAACACTTAGAAACCATAGAATTTTTTTTTTTAATCGATTGCTTCTTTAACCCTTTCCTTTATATGTATTAAAAATATATTGTTGGTATCCTTCTTTCATTCTCCAGCCTTGAAATTTATTGAACTATCATCTCCATGTGCTTTTGTTTTTCTCTTTCTTATCTTTTTTTAATTTACTCTTTCCTTCCTTTTCCTTTGTTGAATTTCCTTCGTTTTTATTTTTATTTTTATCTCCTTTCTCTCTTTTTCTCCTCGTTTTTAAATGTAAAGTTTTCTTTGTACTTTTCTTTTTTTCTTTTTCTTATGTTTAAGTGTATTTTTTAATATTCTTATTTCAATGTTAAAAACAAATATATATTTGGCATCCTTCTTTGATTTTTCTTCCTTAAAATTTATTCAACTATTATCTCCAGGTGTTTTTTTTTCCCTCTTTCTTTTCTTTAATATTTTAGTCTTTCTTTCCTGTTCTTTTAAATTTCCTTCCTTTCATATTTATTTTTATTTTACTCACTTATCTCCTTTTTATCCTCCTTCCATGTACATTTTTCTTTTTCTAACATTCTTTTTCTAACGCAAGTGTATTTTTCTCTACTTCTCCCCACATTATCTCCTATTCTTTTTCAATGTTGAAGTGTTTTCTTCCCTTAAATTCCTTTATCTTTCTCTTTCTTCCCCCCCTCCACATTTGTGTCCTTTTATTTTTCTTTTAATTTTCTTTTTTACTCTGTCCCCGCTTATTCTTTTTTTTGAAATACATCCTTTTTTAATTAAACTCATTTCTCCTACTCGATATTCTTCTCCTTTTATTCTTTCTTATTTTTCTTTCTGTAGTTTACATTTTATCTTATTCCTTCTCCCTTGCTCCATTTATGTGTTTGTTTTGTTTATTCTTCTCCTACCAAGGAGTTGCCCCCCCCCACACCCTAAGAAGTTTAACTTAAAGTAAAGAAAACAATATAGTACAGAAATGTAATGATAAATAGATATGGTTCTTAACTGCTATGCGTACAACATGTGTGTTTGTAAACTTAGTTATTTGGGTAATTAGATATTCGTGTTTAATGGCATTAATTCAAAATAGGTTTTAATTATGGTTATCTTGAATAATATAATACCTGTGATAGATGTATGTGGGAGTGATGATGAGTCTCGAAACCCATACAAATGCAAAGAACTTATGAACTATTTCCTCTCTGAATATCTTGGTAAAATTTTTTTCTGCAAAGTAAGAGTGGAATTAAGTCATAGCAGTCATTTTTCACTTCATAAATTGAATTATTAATTAATCCTAAGATATAATCCTACGTAAAGGTATAAACTTTTCACATGAAATAACTACCCCTCCTTGAATTTCTGAAATTTCAGTCTAAAGTTATCCTTTTTTTAAATATTAAAGGGAGTTACTTGTTTCGTATTAGACGACGAAAAAAAATGTTAAAGTAATACCGTAAATTTATAGAATGTTTAGTAAGATATTTCGTCAAAAAGTTTGTTAATAAATCAATGTTGGAATCAATCATTTATTTTTCATCATAATATTGAATTTTTTTCAATGAATTTGTTCGCAGATTTCTATATATTCATCCAATTTTTTTTTTTTTCATTAAAAATTCCAGAAAATTTGCAGAAGATCTTTGTGAAAAATGAGGGATTATACAAACTAATAATTGATCAAGTTTACGTATTTTCGAAGATAACATTAAATTTATATTTTCTCCACATGCCTCAAACAACTAAATAGTTGACTTAAGATTTTTTCTTCGCATTTTTGGTCGTCGTAATTTGATAATTCAAAAAAAAAAAACTCTGAAAACGTATTCCACAAAAAAAAAGTTTTTAAAATTCGACTTTGTAATCAAACTCCGTGATGTTACATCGTACAAACATTTTATATGTCTCAAATTAATCCTTAAATTGTCCACAACACTGCATACTCAGTTCAATTACCATACATAGCCCATCACTCCCTTTAAGCACTTCTTTGGGATAAAGATATAATCAGTTCAATAGATTTTTCATCATCAAAAAACATTGTCAGATTTCGACCAAAAAGCACAAAAAATTAATAATGAGATATTTTAATTTATGTTTGATCTTTCGTATTTTCTTTAAAATTTAAATATAAAAATTAAGGACTCCTTCCGTTTTTCACACTGGCTGTATTTGGAGAAGATTCACAGTTGAATTATCCTACAAGCACCCAAGTTGAGCTTTACTGGCGGTTCATGAAACAAAATGTTTTTTATAAGCAGAATGTCAAGGTAACATTTAATATTTTTTGGGGGTTTTGGGGTTGGTATGGGGGACGGATATAACGAGAAAACATTTGCTTGAGTATTTGAAGATAAAACTGTGGATGCGATTTTAAAAAGAACACTATTTAAAATATATATTCCCTTTTTTAAACGTATTGCAAAAGATTAGTGCAGGATAAAGTTGTATTTTGGCATGATTCATTACTACCTTCATGTATTCTACTCAAAGATTTTGAAGACTTGAAAGACTTAGTAGACTTGAATTTTTAAATTCCTTTGTCAACTAAAAACTAGCTGATTGTTAATAAGATTTATAGAACAAGAGTTTTATATCGCCCTTTATTTTCAGATTATTTATTGTAAAATTATTTTTTTTTCATGAAAGTATTTTAAATGTCATTTTGTCTTAAATAATTATTAAGATGCTACCAATGTTTAAATGATTTTTAATTCTTTGTTATTGGCATTATTGTTATATAAAAACAATATGCTTTCTGAGAATACAGTTTTTAGAATGTATTTATTTGAAATTAATTTAGTTCTATCTGTAATTTCATTGATTTGTCACATTTTCTCCATCAAAATGTATGTCCTAAATTTCTTTTTCTATGGTGTCTCAAAATAATAATATTATTTAGTTATTTTAGATTATCATTTTAATGCATATTGTTTATATTAGAAAACTTGGTTTAGTTTAACTATTTCAATATTTTAGGATGTCAAGACAGCGGACTACTTTGGTAGAGTTCAGGCCTTTAACAGGGATACTTCACAAATCATTTTTTATTTGTTTTACTTTTAATTCAGATTATTTTTGAAAATGGTTGTAAGCAGAAAGTTGCAGAAAAATCTTTAAACCAGCGGTTGAAAGTTGCTGAAATATCTGAAAACGGTTGTAAGCAAAAGGTTGCTGAAAAATCTTTAAATCAGCGGTTGAAAGTTAAAAGTTGCTGAAAAAAAATTTGCTGAAAAATTTTTATGAAAACAGTTGAAAGCAAAAAAGTTGCTGAAAAATCTTTAAAACAGTGGTTGAGAGCAAAAAGTTGCTGAAAAATTTGAAAACCAGCGGTTGAAAGGAAAAAAGTTGCTAAAAAGCTGAAAACGTTATTGATGAAAAATTATATTTCTTTTGGTTGAAAAAGTGCGATTTAGTGAGCAAATTGTAAATTTCTTCTTAATTTCTTATTCTGAACTGCGTAGAGTCTAGGCTAGATCTCAACCGCTGGTTCAACCGCTCCCGCTGAGTTTTTTTCTCCAAAGTATATATCATTCAAAAAAAATTTTAATTTTTTTTTGTCCACGAGCAACGCCGGGCCCTTCAGCCAGTATTAAATAAATACAAAAATATTAAAAATATTGTAGCTTACTATAAAAAGATGCCGAAAAAATGATGAATAACTATATTATGAATAACATATTTACCTAATAACCTGGCAAACCTCCAAGGTTTACGTGAAAGGGCCCAGGTTCCCTGGCACAGTTCTATAATCTGACCCCAGCTAGTCAGAGGTATAGTAGGAGGATGTTTCGTCTTTGCCTTAAAAGTAAATGTACAAAACAGTACTTTAAAAACTAATTAGTTCTCAGGTCAAAAAGGTTGATTTGAAGGCGCTGTCAGCGTAATTAGAGGTGGCTCTCCATATAAAGATGGCATGCCCAGTTTACAACGGTACTCTTAAAATCGTTGTCTGATCAAGTATGACTTAAATAATAGATATTCATGTTTTTGTTTATTTAAACTGTTTATTCTAATTTGTGTATTCTCTGCAAAGGTGATCTGCGCATTTCTTCCTTATAATAATCGATGGAGAAATTTACAGAAATGAAAATTTTTCTAGTAGAAAAACGACGGTATCTCCCATATTTTTAAGCAGTTTAAGGTTTCAAAATTATCTTTGTAAATCGGGCATTGCTATAGTTGCAGGAAGGGTCACTTAAAATTACGCTTGCAGTCCAGGGGGCGGAAACGTCATGTGTGTGTGTCTGTTCCAAAAGAGTGTATGTAAGTTTACAGTGCCGAAGGTGTGTAATGTAGGTATATACAGTACATACGAATCTTGGTATTTGTACAGTCTAGGAGAGTACATTTGTTTATTGTTAATTGTTCACTTAAAATAAGTTTAATATACATGTAGTATATTATTTATATATTTAAGTCAACACTATAAGCCAAATGTTCATGCAAAGAATATAACTTGATTAAAGTTTACAACAAATATAGTCGTTATTCAAGTTTAATTAATTTCCTTGACTGTAATCATGTTGTGTGTCTGTACCAAAAGAGTGTGTGTTAGTTTAACGTACTGGTCTGCAAAGCAGTGCGACTGGCTTTCTCATGCAAGACCAGTGCCATTTCCTTTCCCTTTATTCCTATTCCCTGTTGCAGTCCCTATATTTTGTTTCAGTATAAATTAAAACCTGAAAATTAGGAAATTGAATTCCTTGGTTTATATGTATAACGTAGCACAATAAACTAATAAACTGATTACCAGATGATGTTTGACCTCCGGAGTAATAGTTTGACCAGCAGCTAGCGCTGCGACTAGAAACACCCAGACAATATTGGTCTGTCGGCACAGTACACTACACAAACCCGCTAGGGAAGATAAGTTCCGCGTACCTGGAGATTACAGGATCAATCAATCAATTAATTAAAGCAAAAAATCAATTAATTAAATAAAAAACTCTAATCAAAGCGATTAACAAATAAATTATTCAAAAAAAGATTACAGGCTCAATCACATATGTCAACAAATCAACTAATCAAACCAATCAAACAACATACCAGCCTATCGGCCAACAATCTAGCCCCTCAATCAATCAACCAGACAACAAATCAATCAATCAATATCAATTAATCAACAAACTATGGTTCAGTTAAACAAAAAAAATCAATTAAATCATTTTTCTCTTTATTTATTGCCACAATTTGATAATTCATAATTCAAAATTGAGGGCTGATTAGAATTGAACTGGGTAAACTATAAGTTTTTATGCTAGATTGAATAACATATATATTAATGACTGAACCTGCCAGGTGTAGAGAATATGTGAGAAGAACCATTGTTGTGGAAACAGCATCAGTGTAGTAAAGGAAATTAAACATATAGAGAACTGGGAGAAGAGATAGGTTGAGACTGTTTAGTATAGCTAGGTTCGAGCTATACCCCTTAATTAAAATAAAGGTTACGACTAAATAAATTATATGTTTTTAACTGTGCATAATACATCGTATATTTCAAAAAATCTACTAAACCCTGCCTTCATTTAGGAAAAGATGTTTTACATTAATCTTCTTAAAATCAAAATTTGTTGAATATTGTAGTTTTCATTTTCTCTAGATTTAAACAAAATAAAGGGTTTTATTGATAACATAATAAAAAGTTCCATCATCGAGTAATATATTCAAATATAATATACCTTTTTACTATCATTTATAAAATAAAAATGATATTTTTCACAACAGCTATATAGAGTGCAATCTGTTAAGCAATTCAATTATAACACGAGAAAAAAAAACTCTTTTTCTGTCAGAGTGATAAGTTAACCCCACGGAACAGTTTGCCGGACAATATAAAGGAGACTAAATTCTTAAACGTGTTCAAGAACAGTTATGATAAACATAAAAATGTTGATCCATAAATAGTTTATGAAAATCCCGTTGCAGAATCCTTTTTTATTACCGAAATAATATCTAGGGGAGAAAACAAATCAATATAAAAATATTTAAGTGGAATTTTTAAACGTGGCAAATGCTTAGATTGAAAAGACACAATTCTAAATTTTACCTGTTTTTCCCCATGCAGTTGTGCAGTTATACAGTACACCAATGAGAGATTAATTAACCCAAACAGAACGTTTAAGCTTCTGTAAAAAAAATAATTGAAAGAAAAGATTGTTTTAAAACTCATAAGATAATGATAAAAATGCATATTAAAGTGTGTGACCAGCAATGTATAGTGGTTAATTGAGTATGCCGTATTGTGGACAAATTTACTAGGAGTCATTTGAAAGAAAAATATAAAACATTTCTACGATATATATTGTATATTTACTGAGTTTAAGTGCAATGTCGACGTTCAAAATCATGACCTTGAGTTGGTACGTTTTTAGAATTGGTCTTTTTTAAATTATTAATTTTTGACGACAAAAAGTAAAGTAAAATTTTACAGTAAACTAATTAGATGTTTGGGAACATATTTCTCAAAAGAAATTTGTCAATAAATCAATGTTAGAATCAATTATTTTGTATTTATCATTATATTGAATTTCTTATTTTCTATGAATTTGTATTTTTATTTTCTTAACCTGTTCCTGAACAACTAATTAGTTAACTGTAGAATTTTATTTACATTTTTGTCGCCGTTATTATGACCATTTCTTTAATATTTACCGATTTTTTAACAAAAGACGAATTTTCAAATTATTTTCCTTTTTTTATTTTTATTTTATGTTTAAACTGGATGAACTATTCAGAGATAAAGTTATTTTTGATAATCTCTATTTTCTTAACAGTTTTGATTTGGGTTTTAAGAGCAAAGTTTTTTCTTTGCAGTTTTTGGTTGATATTTTGCCTCTTGAAGGAAGCGAAAATGTTGCGGATCCAACGGATCCAGATCCTAAGCACCGGATCCTATAATACCTAAGATTCTGAGTACTACAGGAGTTTATATCCGGAGGTTCTCTTGTTAAACTAGCTGCCAGGGAGTTCAGCGGAGAGATTATTCCAACTACAAGTCATTCAAACATTTAAGCATTCACTCAAGCATTCAAGCATTCACTCAAGCATTCATTCAAGCATTCAAGCATTCATTCAAGCATTCAAGCATTCATTCAAGCATTCATTTAAGCAATCATTCAAAATATCATCTAAGTATTCACGCATTCATTCAAGCTTTCTTTCCGGCATACTTTCAAGCATTTATTCAAGCCTTCCTACCAGCATAATTTCAAGCATTCATTCAAGCATTCAAGCTTTTATTCAAGCAATCATTAAGCATTTAATCATTAAAAATTTATTCAAGCATTCATTCAAGCATTCAATCAAACATTTAATCAAATATTCAAGCAGTCATTCAAGCATTCATTCACGCATTTATTCAAACATTCATTCAAGCATTCATTCAAGCATTCAATTAAGCATTCATTTAAGCATTTAAGCTTTCATTCAAGCATTCATTTAGGAATTGATACAAGTATTCAACCATTTATTCAGACATTCATCCTAGCATTCAAGCATTTATTCGTTCGGCCATTCAGCCTTGAGAGCATTCATTCATCAGTAAAATGCCAGAAAGAAAATTACAAACACAGTAGTTACAAACAATTAACCTGAACACTAATTATTTATATGCTTGATTTGCCTGAGATTAAGTAAAGTCCAGGCAGGGTGGTAATCTTGGAATCCCAAGCAGTAAAGTTCCCCAAGCAATACTGCTGAGCCTGTTTAAATTAAGGATTATAAAAAAATTATCAAAAATTGTTCATGAAATTATAGTTTATACTTTATATTTAGTGGATTTAACGAACTCAAAATTCATCTCATTCATTTAATATGGCTAGGATAACTTCGAGAAAAAGAAAAACTATTCGTTGTCAATTGTCAGCCAAACAGAAACAAATACCCATTTTGATTTCTAATAAAAATAAAAATGAAAGACCTGTGGAATATGGAATATTTCGTCCATGTATGGATCTGGAACAGAAACATTCACAAGATTACCTAAACAAATTTAAATTCCATCAAAATTAGGCGGATATTTGGAAAATAGGGGAAGTTCTAAAATATAAATTAATTCGCAGGGGCGTACGAGGGGGGGGGGGGGCTCTTTTAATATTACATCTGCATGCATTTCCCTTCCCCAGGCAATCTACATTCTGCATTGCATTGCATTGCACTCAGCCAAACTAAAAGATTAAGAAAAGAAATAAAATATATTCTGATTCACAACAATACCCTTCAAAGCTTTGTCTGATCAAGTATTGCATTAAATATCCATGTGTCCCATTTTGAAAACTGATTAGTTTTATTTCTGGTTTCTCTACAAAAGTGACTCGTGCATTTCTTGCTCCAGAAACGATGGAGAAATGAAGGTTTCAAAGGAACATGGGACATGCCACTCTTTATATGGAGAGTCACTTAAAATTACGCATATTTTTCATTTAAGTATAATTACATCGTATAAAAAAATACTTTAAAATTTCACTTTAGCCTTTAACTAAAAAGGTTTCATTAAAAAAGCTTTAATCAATACTGACTGCCTTCAGTGTAAATATATATTTGATATCATGATTTATAAACCAATATGTATCGATCCTATGAAAATATAGATATTATTTTAGAAACGTTTCCATCTCTATTTTTCATCCCTTGGAGCTTATACACTGAAGTATTTAGAGGGATTGACTGTTGAGTACACTTAAGAAAATTACATAAATCATTTCTTAAAACTTGTAATATGGCAGTGTGTATATGATCGAGTAGTTTGGATAGTTAAAAAAGGTAGGGGGGCACAAAAAAAATTGCCATGGGGGCAAAATGTGCCCCCCCCCCACACACAAATGCTCTCGTACGCCCCTGTTAAGCAGTCTTATATTTTTTTTTAATACGATCGTCACCCTAACACCTTAGAACTCTTATTAAAATTGCCTAGAAAACGGGTTCAAGACCCCCCCCCCCCCCACCACCTCTCTACTTTCAATGTTTTAAAACGTACAAAAGCACATCATATGGCCACCGTACGATGTGTGCAAACCGCGGCGCTTGGCCCCATTTAGCCTGTGCTTGCCTCATTTTCTTAACTTGACCCTCTTACAGAAATAATAAAAATTGGGGTCTGTCCTAGTGAACGATTTTTGGACCCCCTGTTCTGTAGGAAATTACCAAAATTGATTATTAGTTGGATATTTGTTCTTAAATAGATGCAGCCCCAATTTTTTCTATAAATAAAATTACCTACAACTGACAGACAGGCTGAAAAACAAGCCAAACTGAACAGAAATAAGCTCATTTTTACATATGTATCATTTCTTTCTAAAATATAAATAAATCTCATTAATCATCAACCTTGTAATATTGCATTAAAATTCAAAGTGCAGCGTCCTATATGACTTATTTTACACATAAGTCCACTCCAAAAAAATAGCTTTAACAGATAGGTATTCCTAAACGTATATAAATTTACAATTAGCGAAAGTAAATCTATTTTTATTTATTTTTACAGCAAAATCGCCCTAGCTGACTGTTTACAAGCTGAGTTCACCTTAGTTCCAACTTTCAAGTTCAACATCAAAGAATTGAAGTCTGAAGAACAAGCGAGCCCTTATTTATAAACGGTATTACTCATCTTGATTATCTACAGTTTAGTTTCACGCCTAAACGACCCCAACGCCCAAGTGTAACGGATCTTTTCTTCAATTAAGGATTTTTAAAACTTGATACACCGAATCCACCATTAGAATGAGGATTGCTGACCGATTTCAAAATCTAATTACACCACGTACACTACACATTACACAACTCACACAACCCTTAACACCCCCCTACACAACTCACACAACTCCTAACACCCATTTACAGAACTTCTTACACAACTCATAACACCCCTCTACATAACTACTTACACCCCTCTAGACAGCTCCGATCCTTACACCGCCGCTCTACACAACTACTTATACTAGTACTACTTCACACTTAACTCCTTACACCACTCGACACAGCTCCTTAAATCCCTCTACACAACGAACACAACTCTGCACACCCCTTTACACTACACACCACCTTACATCCCTCTGCAGAAATCATTACATCCCTCTACACAACTCCTTTCACTCCACTTCTTACACAACTTGTGACACCCCTCTATACACCTACACAACTCTTTACACCTCTCTACACAACTCCTTACTACACCTCCTGCAGGCTGCACCCCTCTACACCTACACAACTCTTTAAACCTATCTACACAACTACTACACCTCCTGCAGGCTGCACCCCTCTACACCTACACAACTCTTTAAACCTATCTACACAACCCCCTACTACACCTCCTGCAGGCTGCACCCCTCTACACCTACACAACTCCTTAAGCCTATCTACACAACTCCTTCCTATACATCCTGCTGCACCCCTCTACACCTACACAACTCCTTAAACTCTACACAACTCCTTACTACACCTCCTGCAGGCTGCACCCCTCTACACCTACACAACTCTTGAAAACTCTCTACACAACCCTTGAAAACTCTCTACATAACTCATTACAACACCTCCTGCAGGCTGCACCCCTCTAAAAAACATAGGCAAAAAACGCAGAATAAACATAATAATGCCTTCTAACTACGATTTCTTGAAAGTGTCTCACAAATTCCATTTTTACCTAAATTTCGATAGCCCAACCCAAGGTTAATATTTACAAACCTTCTAAACTGAAAATAATGTTGGATTACAATATTTATTTAGAACCTGGTATAAACGAAGATTATAAAATGCAATTCTTTGGTACAATGTGGTTCATAATCTTCTTATTTAACAAACTACGAATTATTAAATGTTTAAAGATTTGTTAAATAGTTTCTTTATGTTGTACATAGGTTGATACAACTTTAGTACAACCGACTTAATCCGGTCCTTCATCAGTACTGCTACTGGCAAACTATTTTAAAAAAATTAGCTTTCCAAGTATTAACCGGNGGGTGAACTTTAAGAAAAAATTATGCCTGTTAAACCGATCATTGATCAATTTTCATAGATTTAAAAAATATACAATGAACAATTAAGACTTCTATGTGACAGGATTCAGTTTATAAGTCGGATAAAACATTTTGAAGATTATGAACAACAGAGAAGCTCTTCACGATACATAAGAACAGAAACGAGTAAAAAATACAAGGGAAGGAATGCACAAATATTCATAAAATCAGGCTTTAGGCCAATTGTTTACAAAGCATACAAAAAGACATATAGGCGAAAGCATGTTTACAATAATGCATAACTCCCCCTCTCCCACCACCCCTGAGGATTAAAGTTTAAAATATTATCAATATTTACGACTGACTAGACAATTCATGACATTCAGTTTTGAGTGTGTAACAGCAGTGTTATAATTTGAGAACTTGAAATATTTCTATTTTTAAAATAAAATTATTGCTTTGTAATTTTAGATCTGTAATAGTCAAAGATTCATGAATATACAAGATTATCAGCTACTTATTAAATTAAGCTGCCTTGTTTATTTACATGGTGTCCCAAAAAAAACTTAATTTATTTTTAAAAATCGTAATGTAAATTTTACTGCATGCATATATTTCCAATTTGATGGATTTAAAATTTGGATAAAAAGTATTTGGGACACCTCGGATCTTTTCTTGTATCAGCCTAGGCATGAAAATTCAAGCCAAATGCTTTGCTACAAATCAAAACAGAATTCAACAGAGTACACATCCTTGTACATATTATGCCTAATGTTGTACTGATTATTCATGTTTGGTACATACATCCACATAGACATGTTTTGGTTTCATTCTAGAAATTGCATAAATTTGGGGGGGAAATTTTTGTTTTAGATTTTAAACACGGGTCATTTTTTCAAAAAATGCAAGTGATACAGTTTAATTTGTTTGGGGAATGCTTAGATTTTCCCTTTGTTTTGTTTTCTCATGAAATGGAATAGAGTTGTGACAAGGCAACATAACACCATAAAACATGGGCTGAAGGTAACTATAGTAGAGCTTCTGGTTATCATAAATATTAAAGGAACTGTCAAACAATCAGTTAGGGAGGTTTTAATTTAAAGATTGCAATAAAAAAATCACATCTGAAAAACTATGGAATAGAATGAGAAATTTTTTTATGCCAATTTCTAATCAAATTGTTGACAATTCCTTTAAATATTTAGTTAGTCTATTTCTAAATATTGTAAGAAGGGATTTTTTTTGAGAAGGGTTAGTTGACAAACCTTATTCTACAATGAAGGGAAGGAAAAGGACATATTCTGAGAAACAGAAGATAAAATAAAAATATTTAAAATGTGAATATAAATATAAAATTGATATAGGTAATATTGAGTTAAACATTGCAATCTCCCGAAACCAAGTTTCACAATTTGTAAATAAGAAATGAGACTTTTTTCTTTCAGTAAAAGACCCAATAATAAATGCCTTGCATCATACATCAAATGTATAATTTGAATAATAAGAGAGCGAGAAAGAGAGATCTTTAATTAGATCTAGTCAAGAGAGTCCAAAGTTTGGATATTTTTCACAAAATCACGTCACAACATAAATAAATTGATCACTTGAAAAACCTGGAAGAATAATGTTTATGTACAACTGTACAACTGTACTTGAAGTTTACCAGGTGTAAAGCCTGTTATTGTTTTTACTACGTCACGTAGCTGTAAGTGAAGGTTATAAATAAACCTTTGAAAATAATGCGAATGGATTGTGTACAATACATTAGTACGGTGTACATTAGTTGCTGGAAGAAGTTGTACTTACTACTACTAGTTCAGGGTAACTGTATTATAGTACTATTATGAGAGCTGCATGTACAGACGGGAAATCATGTACTTAATTAATAAATTAATGTAAACAATGAACAGGTGCAGTGAGTTGGTGTTCATATATCCAATGTAACACATACACTAACCACTGTAGACTTGAAGGTTGATTTAATGTAGAGCTAGATTTTGTGTACTGTACAACTAGATACTGTATACTGTACAGCTAGATGTTGTCTACTGTACAGCTAGATGTTGTCTACCGTACTGCTATATGATGTACATTGTACAACTAGATGAAACTGTGAAGCTAGATTTCACTGTATACTGTAAATCTACTCCATGTACTGTGGTTGTGAGGTGATATTGAAGTCCTCAAACATATGAGCGAGAAATTCAAAGGTCGGGCGCTTGTACGGATCAGTCTTCCAACATTCAAGCATTATCTGAAAAATATTTCATTAAAATCTACCAAAACAAACGTTATTTAAAAAAATGCGGGAAAATTTCTTGAATAACTTTTGGGGGAAAATGCAAATAAAGTTACCTAAAGGAAACCTACAAATTTGACATTTTATATTGACAGGAGTTTCTTTAAAGTTGCTAAATTACCTTATATACATTGGCTTGTGCAGCAACGACCTCCTTTGGGTGTGTTTTAGACTCCGGGTACACAATATGCACTGGTTGAGCCATCCTGTATCCTCTCTCAACCTGCTCTATTGTCTCACGGTTGTTCATTCCTGATAAAATTTTGCGATAAAATTCAATGTCAAATTATAATCATAAAAAATGATAATACTACAATTTAAGATTATTTATCAAGTATCATCATTATGTAACCTAAGTTGTTGGGGAGGTTAAAATGATTTACTATCTTATTTCTTGTTAACTTGCTTTCAATGATTTCACTTATCTTTGACAAAATAGACGAAAAACTTATCTCTGGAAAAGAGAGAAAAATTGAAAACTAAAAATAAAGAAACTGAAAAATATTTTATCATAATTTCTTTGACGGATAGTTTTAATAATCCAATTATTAACCAGAACATTTGTTAAAACAAAATCAAAATTATTACAAATGTATAAATAAAAAATTAAAAATTAAAAATTAAAATTATTACATTATCTATATAATAAAGATCTTCGCAATCTTTAGTATTATACTAAAGATTGTTAGAACAATTTTACAAAATAGATAAAATGTAAGGGAAATAAAAAAGATAATGATAAAAATATATACCCGGATATGGAACCTGTCCGTATGTAAAGAGTTCCATGAGAAGAATACCGTAGGACCAAACATCAGACTTTACTGTAAATTTTCCAAACTGTATTGCCTCAGGAGCAGTCCACTTTACAGGGAACCTGGCTCCCTAAATATTTTACAAGATTATTGATAATTTACAGAGAACTTGGCTCCCTAAATATTTTACAAGATTATTGATAATTTACAAAGAACTCGGCTCCCTAAATATTTTACAAGATTATTGATAATTTACAGAGAACCTGGCCCCCTAAATATTTTACAAGATTATTGATAATTTACAGAGAACCTGGCTCCCTAAATATTTTACAAGATTATTGATAATTTACAGAAAACCTGGCTCTCTAAATAGTTTAATAGGTTAATACAGATAATTTAAAGGAAACCTAGCTCCCAAAATAAAAAAGATAATTTACAGAGAACGTGGCTCCCTAAATAGTTTAATAGGTTAATACAGATAATTTAAAGGAAACCTAGCTCCCAAAATAAAAAAAGATAATTTACAGAAAATCAAGTCTTTGCAAAAAAGGGCAATTAGAGCAGTAAATAATAGTTCATTTAAGGCACATTCAGATCCAATATTTTTCAGATTAGAACTCCTAAATCTTGATGATACATATAAACTAGGTGTTCTATCTTGCATAAATACTTTTATGAAAACCTTCCAGCTTCCTTCCAGGATATGTTTAATTCTTTAGCTGAACCAAATAGAACAAAATCATATAAACTTGAACGAGTTCTCTTTAAAACCCTAGAATGTTTTCCCTCTGCCTTATTTCCAAAAATATGGAATTCGATTGAATTAGAGCTTAAAGAAACTAAATCTGCAAAATCGTTTAAAAGAAAAGTCGTCAAGATCTATTTAGATAGTTATGCAAATTATATCTGTAAAAAAAAAACTGTGTATCATGTGGATAAACTTAGTCTTTACTATCTTCTTCACCCTCTAGTTCATAAACATGATTCTAATAACTTATGTTACCCTCTGTTCCAACCCTTACGCTGAGTATCCTCCCTTTTCTTTATACTCCCTCACCTCCTCCTTACCTTTTACCTGATTTATTATCATTCTTATGTTTAAAATGTACAATGTACATTGTTTTTATCTGCAATTCTCATTCGTTTATAGTGGGCCAACCAATTAAAACAACCTACTCTGGTTAGGCGGGTCCAAAATACATAGTAAATTGTGATTTTTTTATTTGTATTATCTCGTGCTTTGTAGTTGAATAAAAATATGAAATATGAACTTGGCTCCCTAAATAGTTTAATAGGTTAATACAGATAATTTAAAGGGAACCTAGCTCCCAAAATAAAAAAGATAATTTACAGGGAACCTAGCTCCCTAAATATTTTACAAGATTATTGATAATCTACAGAGAACCTGGCTCCCTAAATAGTTCACAGATTAATAAAGATAATTTACAGAGAACCTGGCTCCCTAAATAGTTTACTAGGTTAAAAAAGATATTTTCCAGGGAACCTGACTCCAAAAGTAGTTTACTAGGTTAATAAATATAATTTACAGAGAACCTGACTACCTAAATAGTTTACACGGCTAATAAAGATAATTTACAAGGACCCTAGCTCCCTAACTAGTTTACAAGATTAATATAGATAATTTACAGGGAACCTAGCTCCCTAAATAAAAAAGATAATTTACAGGGAACCTAGCTCCCTAAATAGTTTACAAGGTTAATAAAGATAACTTCCAGGGAAACTGACTTCCAGGGAAACTGACTCCATAAGTTGTTAACTAGGTTAATAAAGATAATTTACAGAGAACCTGGCTCCCTAAATAGTTTACACGGCAATAAAGATCAGGTACAGGGAGCCTGGCTCCCTAAATAGTTTACTGGGTTAATAAAGATAATTTCCATGAAACCTGGCTCCATAAATAGTTTACAAGAATAATAAAGATAATTTACATTTCAGGGAACCTGGCTCACAAGGTTAATAAAGATAATTTACAGGGACCCTGGCTCCCTAACTAGTTTACAAGGTTAAAAAAGGGAGTGCTCTACTTTACAGGGCACACAGCTTCCAAAATTGATCAAACAAAATTAGCAATGGAAGTGTGATCAACTTTCCTTAAGCTTCTTACATAGTATACAGGGTTATAAAGGAAGTGCTCCCCACTTCACAAGGAACCCAGCTTCCTTATTCTTATATCAAGGTTACCAAGGGAGTGTAGCCCACTTTTAAGAGAAACGATCTTCCTGGGAAGTTTAAATTTTTTTAAAAAAGGGACTACTTACACATTAAAAAACAAAAAGTCAGCAACCAACAAATAAAATAAAGGTGTATTAACCTGATGTGCTGAGTATTCGTTATCTACAATAACCCTGGCAAGACCAAAGTCTGCCACTTTGGCAATCAAGTTCTCTCCGATGAGAACATTACGAGCTGCTAGATCTCGATGGATTAGTCCTTTACGCTCCAAGTGTGCCATACCACTAGCAACCTAATATATTTTAAAATAAAGCTAGCATTTTTTCAAATTTTTTCCACATGAAACGTATTTAAATGGAATACTGAATGTTTGGGTTGAGACTGTAAAAGTAAAATCCCCCCCCCCACCCACCCATTTAAAGAGATGCAGGATTCAGAACGGTTCCCTTAAAACCTTTATCCGAGCGTATAAAATCTCCGTACATTTGATCTATAAAGTATTAAATTCTTTCAACTTACCATGCTGGATTTTTTCAGACAGTTTTACAGAGAAACCACAATTTTAAAACCATAAATTTTAAAATAAAAAAGCAAGAATATCTAAAAAAATTTAGAAAGGGTCTCATTGTGAATAAAGAATTCACTACTTAAAAAGAGGGTAACTAGCTTGAAACTAAGTTTGAACTTTAGAAACTTCAGTTCATACGTATTTAAGATTTATTCAGATTTTATTTTTGATATCAGCGTATTTTACAATCAAAATTATACTTAAACTAATATTTTTCTATAAATGTGAATTTGCATATATTTATTGATAAAAGAACGCATTAAAGAAGGATAACTATTCCAGGAGGAGGATGAATTTACACTAGGAAAAGGGTAATCAAAGTTTTCCTCATATAAGCTAACTAAAAACATTTGACAGCTTTTTCAATTGCAAAAAGGACGCATATTTACGAACGTAATTATTTGGACGCACTATTTTTAGTTAACACTCACTATCGAAACGCATGATACACATTTTAATACAATTAAACCTGGGAACTCACCTGTGCCGCAATGGATATATGAGAATCAAAGAGAAGTTTCCCTCCTCCTTCCGCTTCCTTCCTCAAGAAGTCCAAGAGGGCACCGTTGCACATATACTCGGTGATGATGAAGAAGGGCTCCTGCTCGGTACACACCGCGTACATAGCAACAAGATGAGGGTGAGAAAATTTCTTCATGATCTCAGCTTCCTATAAAAGAAAATATCATAAAGCAAAATTTGAAAACTTGATCGAACATCTATATCTCTCCAACGTTTACTTTCAAACCAAATATTCGAGTAAGCCTTATATAGAGTAGATGAGTATTGAGTAAGCCTTATATAAAGTAGATGAGTATTGAGTAAGCCTTACATAAAGTAGATGAGTATTGAGTAAGCCTTATATAAAGTAGATGAGTATTGAGTAAGCCTTATATAAAGTGATATCATTCACTTTATTATAATGTAAAAACTGAATAGTGAAAATTGTCATTCCAAAACTTAAGGGACTTTTTGTAACAACTATGAAAGTGAACATCTCCGAATCGACCAAATCAGAGATGGTCTATTATGGAGTCGGTCCCTTTTGTTTTGAAGAAAATAATAGATGTAAATAGATGGGTTAACACGGAAATAGGCATGAAGATTTAAAAAAAAAATAATGTTAATAATTTACATTACAAAAAGATAAAAATATGCGTCTTTAAAAAAATCAAGATTGTCAATATATTGTTAAAAACAAATAAATAGTACCTGAAGGAATGCCTCTGGAGACATTGTGTTTGGTTTCAATGTTTTAACCGCTACATCCAGCCGACCCTGCCACTGCGCCTTCCAAACCTCACCGAAATTACCCGCGCCCAGCTTTCGTAACAACGTAATCTGCGACTTGGGAATCTCATACTGATCCCTGGTAGCGTATTCAAGGGCGTTACTCCGGCCCTCCTTGGGGGTGGGTTTAGGACAAGGTTTGGTCAGCTGACAACATAATCCTTTACAAAGAGCAGTCTGATATCCTTTGACTAATTCAGGTAATGAAGCGAAGGTTTGCCGCGTTGTTATATAATAACCTCGGTTAGCGTCTAAAGGTTTGATTTTGTAATGTTTCACGTGATAACTCCGCTCCTGGTCCCAGTCCTTTATACTCAGTGCGAATCCACCAGGATTTTGTTCAGACTCGCGGATTAAGAAAACACCTCGCGCATTTGTGTGCGCCATTAGGTATTCCTCTGCAGTTCGTCGGCTGATTTGTCCGCAAAACCATCTAAATAGCACGTTTTATTTCTATTTAGCAAATTTCTATAATGGTCTCATTTAGAAGTTTTGAAAAATTTTATTTTTGCGTATGATCAAAGTTGCCTGTAAAATTTGTAGCTTTGATCATATCTGCAAGCTCCATGTGTTTTTTAATCGATCATCATCACAAAATATATCCTCTTGATGCATATCGAAACAAAGCCTATCAAATCCAAACATATCAAACAACAAAATGTCAGACAACAAATATATATAGTCGCAAAATTTTAATGGTTCATTAAAACTGAAAATTAAGATTTGGTTGTGAAATGTTTTGTATTTTGTTATAGTTTCACATGATAGTAATTAGTAGATAGATATTATCTTATCTATCTTAATATGTTTTGATTCGATAGATTTTGTTTAGAGTGTTTCGTTGGGATATGTTTAGTACCTCAGAGTCAACTTACAAGTTTTATTGTTTAATTCCGTGACTTTCATACCCATAAAAACAAACTTTTTACCCAAAATGTTGAATTCAATAAAGTTTTGAGACCTAGGTATCATGTAAAAGGGGAAACAAATTCCATAGCAGGGAGGGGGGGATTATGTTTTCTGAAAAAAATTAACACCCATCAAACATATTTAAACTTACTCTTCCGACTCTATTGAGCTCTGGAGAGCGACGTAGTTTCTGGGTATATGTCCTGTCTCCCCTGTACCAAGGTGCCTAGACACCCACCAGTCAGGATCAGTATCATCTAAGATCTCCATCTGGTCACCCTGAACACAAATATTTATGCATCTCTGTCTGATCACCCTGAACACACTTTTATATCTCCATCTGATCACCCTGAACACAAATCTGTAAAAATCTCCTTCTGGTCACACTGAACAAAAATACATATAACTCTACATCTGGTCACCCTAAATACAAATATTTAGAAATCTCTTTATGGTCACCCTGAACAAAATTATTTATAAATCTCCATCTGGTCACCCTGAACAGAAATATTTAGAAAATCTCCATCTGGTCACCCTGAACACAAATATTTAGAAAATCTCCATCTGGTCACTATGAACACAAGTAAATTTCCAGCTGGTCACCCTGAACAGAAATATCAAGAAATATCAATCTTGTCACCCTGAATACAAATATTTAGAAGATCTCCATCTGGTCACCCAGAATACAAAAAAATTTTCCATCTGAACACAAATATTAACAAATCTTTATCTGAAATTTACTGAAATATATTGAGTTACTGTGCGATATTCTAACTAATTCCGTATTCCAAAAAATGATTCAAATATTCCGATTTTCCCGAAAATTCTGTTACCTTGTTAAAGCTCATATCTCCGAACTCTGAGCCCTGGTATGTATACAGGGCCACCACTATCCGCCCTTTCAAGTTACTAAAAAAAGTATCATAAAAAATGTTATTAAAAAAGATAAAAATTTTCAGATAAGTTATCAAATGTTGTAATTACTTATTAATGTAAGATATTTAAAAAAAATGAAAAATTGGCAAGTTCTTGCATACTTTTTAACTTTCTATTTTTATTTAATTGGATCTGGGAAGTGAACGATGTTTTCATGAGGGGGGGGGGGTATATTTCAAGAAAAACTTTACCCATGCCCTGACGGACATACAATGTAATGTTTGAAAAAATGTTCATCTTAGCTAGTCTTACCCCATTCGACTAGGCTGCGCCGGAACTGGTAGGACCGGGACGGACGCCGCTCCATGGCTGGGGGACTGCCCAGTCGACAGCTGCGTCCTGTATCCATTCTTCTTCCCGTTGTCCTGTTTGTCCTGGGCCCTGATACGATCCGTCCTACTGTTGTCAGGACGGAAATCGTTAGATTGATTATTCCCCATTACGCTAGGTTTGCCAGCATCTAAATATTGAAGGGACGATTAACGAAATTATAAATAATTTTGTATTTTTTAAGAAAGTGCCATCAATGATTCACATTCAACAATGAGCCCCAACAAACTGTGAGAAAGACGATATTCATGCAGTCTTGAGTGTAGTTGATATAAAGCAAACAGATATATGCTTCTCATTGTAAATCTTTAACACATCTAATTCATACGTTCTAATTTTGTCCCATCCAACAAGATAATTGAAAGACAACATGACAAGAATGTGAAACTAATTCATACAACCAAAAAGTACTATATAAGTGAAAATAGAAAAAAAGGCAAAAATTAATTTATGAAGAATTAAGTTTGTAAATAACTTCCAACGTCATCATGGATTATCTTTTGACTTGAAAGCCCAAATAATTAAAGAAACACAAAAAGAACCCTGTATTTTTGGTTTATTTTAATTTATTGACAAGCTTCCTACAATTTGTTATAGTGATGCATTTGTAAAAAATAATTCCCCCAAAAAATAAAGTAAGATGTGTGACACCCAGTACGACAATTTATCTGTGAAAAACATGCAGAAAGAAAATTGCACAATAAAATATAAGCAAGGAAATACAAACTTTCCCTTTTTATTTGAATTTTGATTATGCTTAGGATCCATTTAATTTTGATGCGGATCCGGATCCTGGATTCGCACTGGAAAAAAATGGATACGGATCCGGATCCAGGTCATTCTTTACTAATTTACTGAATTTTTTTAACAAACATTTTTTTAAATTTTTTTGTTTTATTTTTTTCGCATATTTTTATCCTAAAACTTGATAAATGAGGAAATTTTTATAATCTCTCTTTTTTCAAAAATTCAGCCTTGGGGAGTATAAAAGTTTTTTTTGCCGTTTTTGGTTGATATTTTACCCCTTGGATCCGGATCCAGGAAGCCAAAATCTTACGGATCCAACGGATCCGGATACCAAAGCACTGGCATTGGAACTGTTCACAATGGCAGATTTTTAATCTTTAGATATTTACACAATTATTTTCGGCAAGACATTGGGAGCACATTCTTGCTGATCTGTTCAGTATTACAAGAGTTTGTTTGGTAGAAATGTTCTTGATATTCAAACGGAGAATAAAGATATCTCGACAATCATATGCAATGGATCGTCAACGGCTGGACCGTAAGTGAATATTTATTTCGACATTTAAAGAAGGGTATGATGTTAACCGTACAGGTTTACACTGATCAATAATTTATGAGATATTTCTGCTTTTAAAAAAATTGGTTATTTTGAACTGTGGTTTCTCTTTAAAGTGACGTGACTAGATCATTTCTGCTTCTTTAATGCAAATTATCAGAAACACTTTTAAATCCAGAAAAATTTAAATATTCCCCCCCCCCCCTCATTTTTTGGTCAGATAAAGGTTAAAGAGTACTGTTGTGAATTTGGCATGCATAGTACATACCCCTCTTTACAGGAAGGTACTTAAAATTTGGACGTGCACTGCAGTAAACAAGTATGTTATTAATCAATTTAAAATGAGTCACCTAATTCTTTATCAGTGCTGGCACAATTTCCCATACTTAAGAGACAAACCAAAGTCTAGCTCATCTCCGGGTAGAGCTGGCAGCTGGGTAAGTATAAAAAAAGACCCGGAGTAAGAAGCTAGTGAACCCGACAACCCAGAGAACCCAACCCGTGCAAACCAGTAGAGTGCATGTCTAGAATATATACAGTGTACAATTGGAGATTAATTGTTACTAACGTTACTAATTGATCCGGCAGTTAACAAAAAGAAAATAAACGTAAGTGGGAGGGTCCAAAAATCGTTATTTATGACATACGACCCAGGAAAATACCAACAATTAGAAATATCCCATTAAAAAAAAGAAAAAAAACAGTTCCCATAACCATCACATTCACAAGGAGAGAAATATTACAAAATATTACCTTTTCCAATTCCATGTAAAGAGTTTTTTAAAGTCACTATTTGTTATATTTCACTAAACTATGGCAGTTTCACATGGATTATATAAAGCGTATTAGTCATAAATTTAGCTAAATGAAAAAGTACTACATATTATTTTCTGAAATAAATAAGATGTTAGAAAAGATTTAAACCTTAAGCTGTAAAAAAACATTTAATCCTTTGTTAAAAAAAACACCTGAATAAAAGTTTTTTTAACATTAATGCAAACAATTTCAGTCGGTCGCGAAAAATTTCACAAACTTATTATACATTCCTAAAAATCAAGAAAACTGTATTTTTATTCAGATTTCTCGGCGAAAATACCCCCAAGAAATTTTTCTTTATTTCTATTTTCTGACATTGAGATTCATTACAGACTCGTTCCGAAGCGGCTTCGGCTTCGATCTGAGAAACTGCGTAGAATTTAAGCTCACAAGTTCGACATTCAATTATTACTCCGTAGAATCATCATAGTTAATTAGTCTCCCTAAAGTTTTTAATTTATTTTCGAATACCATAGACACTTTTTTACTCAGTAATAGCAAGTTCTTAAATATAAGTGCTCATTTTTTATCTTTTCCAAAATTCCCTCTTAATCTCAATTCTCTCTATATAGTAGAAATTCATACACGGCCAATTCACTCAATTATAACCCAATATCACCATTCATCAATCCTCTCCATCTGTCCTACTCTAGTAATTATCTATATTCTCTCGACCGTCCTATATAGTGTATTGTTATCATCCATCATCTCCATCCGTCTTAATCTAAGTAATTATATTCTCTCCATCAGGGGCGTACGAGGGCTTTTGTTTAGGGGGGGCACAATTTGCGCGCGTAAGCGCGCAAAAAAAAATTTTTGGTCACCCCCCTTGGCAACATTGGTCCCCCCCTTAAAAAACCCCTTTTTTGAAAAAATATTAATACCTTTTTTAAATTTTTTTTGCCCCCCCCCCTCTCCCACCTGGACTTATTTTGTTCACCATAAAAATANCGCCCCCCCCTCTCAGGTACTAGGGGAGGGCGCGCGCCCGGCCGCCTCCCCCCTAGTTGCGCCTCTGCTCTCTGTCATAGTACATCTTGTGTAAAGATGTACTAACATACTAACTTGTATTAACAGTGAATTTAGACAAATCCTCAATCTTTGTCATTGTCAGGTGTTACTTTCTAAACGTAGTTTCCTTTTAATTTTGTATTTTTGGAACTCCCAGGGGGGGGCAAGAGAACTACTTGCCCCCCTAGGTACACCACTGTGCCTGACCTGAGGAAGGGAAATGCAAGCAGATGTAATATTAAAAGAGCCTCCCCCATGGATGCCCCCCGTCAGCCTATCAGGGGGGGCACGCGTAGAGGGGGGCGGGGGGGCGCGGCCCCCCCCCTCGTACGCCCCTGCTCTCCATCCGTCCTACTCGTCCTACTCTAGTTATATTAACTATCCTTTCCATCCGCCTATATTCTAGTAATTATATATCCTCTCCATTCAATCAACCATAACTCTAGTAATTGTCTACCCTCTCCATCCGTCCTACGTCCTTCTCTAGAATTATTATCTTTGCTCTCGACCTTCCTACTCTGTAGTTTTTCAGTGGCGTACAGAGCATTTTTAAAGGGGGTTATACCCTAAACATATTAATAATATAAGTAACAATATCGCTCCGCTCCCTGGGGCAATAGTTGGTAATTTTTTGTTAAAAACTGTGATTTATTGCGATTTCAATTGCGAGAGCAGTTCAATTTTTACCAGAAATAACACAGTTCTGAGTGGGAATCGGCTTTAAATCTATCTATTTATCCATCTATCTATCTGATATCCTAACCTGGTTTTATCTTTCCTCTCCATCCGTCTCAACCTGGTTTTAGCTCTCCTCTCCATTCGTCCAAACCTATGGTTTTATCATAACCTTTGCATTGGTCTAAACCTGAATTAAACTATTCCATTCGTCCAAACCCCGTTTTATCTATCCACTACACCGGTCCCAACCTATATTGTCTAACCTTCGATCCATCCATCTCTGCCCAAATCCCTGGTTTTATCTATCCATTACACCGGTCCGGGCGGTCCCAACCTATTTATTGTCTATCCTTTCCATCCATCTCTGTCCAAATCCCTGGTTTTATCTATCCATTACACCGGTCCCAACCTATATATTGTCTATCCTTTCCATCCATCTGTCCAAATCCCTGGTTTTATCTATCCTCTCCATACATCCCAACCTTGGTTACTTAATACTTAATCCTCTCACTCTGTCCCGACTCAATTATTATCTATCCACTCAATATACAGTTCCAACCGGTTTTATCTATACTCCCCATCCATCATATGCTCTCCTTTCATCCCCACCTGGTTTCATCTATCCTCTTAAATCGCACCACTCCTGTTTTTATCTATGCTCTCCATCCGTTCTTAAACCTAGTTATTAACTTTCCTTCCTGCATCTATCGCAATCTGGTTTTATCTATACTTTTCATTCGTCCCCACCAGGTTTTATCTATCCTCTCCAATCATCCCAATCCAGTTTTATTTATACTCTCCTTTTGTCCCAACTTAGTTATTAATTATCTATTCACTCCATACGTTTCAACCTGGTTTAACAATGCTCTCAATCCATCCCAGCCTGATTTCATCTAAATGCTCTCCATCCCTCCCAACCTGGTTTTATCTATTCTCTCCGTCCATATATCCCAACCTAGTTTTATCTATTCTATTCTTAATCCATCGCCCGGTTTTATCCAAGGAGAATTGAATAGAAAGAGGGGGCGATAAGGTTTCCGTACACTTTGCTCTGACGTTTTTGGACTGCTGAAGAAATGGTTTTTGCGTAACAACAATAATAAAGGTTGTAAACAATAACACAAATGATAGAAAGACATCTAGCGCATCTCTGGCGTATAGATGAAGATTCACCGTACACTAACTCATGTTTGTTTACATTAGATCGGCTGCCTTTGTTATTGTTGTTACGCAAAAACTAGTTCTTGAGCAGTCCAAAAACGTCACAGCAAAGTGTACAGAAACCTTTTTCGCCCCCTCCTTCTATTCAATTCTCCTTGGTTTTATCATAACCTCTACATGCCATCGGTGCTATGGAAACACCTCAACACGGAAACGTCTCAACGCGGAAATGCCTCAAAAACCGGTTTTGAGGAATTTCCGTTTTTTGGGGGGAAATCCCTCAAAACTGGAAAATGTTGAGGGATTTCCGAATATTTTTGAGGCGTTTCCTAATATTTAAAGTTGAGGTGTTTCCTCTTTTTTTTTGAGGCGTTTCCGTTTTTTGAAAAAAGTTTTAAACTTTATTTTGTTGAGGCGTTTCCTCTTTTTTTGAGGCGTTTCCGTTTTTTTGAGGCGTTTCCGTTTTTTGAAAAAAGTTTTTAAACTTTATCTTGTTGAGGCGTTTCCTCTTTTTGTTGAGGCGTTTCCGTTTTTTTAGACGTTTCCTCTTTTTCTTTGAGGCGTTTCCGTTTTTTTTGAGGCGTTTCCGTTTTTTGAAAAAACTTTAAAACTTTATTTGTTGATGCGTTTCCTCTTTTTAAATTGAGGCGTTTCCGTTTTTTATAAAATTTTTAAACTTTATTTGTTTCAAAAATCTTTCCCCCTTTCCAAAATAATTAATCTCCTCCCAGAAATTAAACACCATGAGGTTTCAAAGAAATAGGGATTATAAAAAATGAGAAAAACAATTTATAGGGTTTTAAGGGTTTTAATTGCTGAATTTTTGGGTAAAAACTAAAAATAATTAAAAATGATGAAAACTTGCCTGTTGTAATGCATCCAATTTATCTTTTTTGGTAATTTCCTAGAAAACGATTTTCCAAAACTCGTAAACTAGGACGGACCCATCTTTTCTTTTTTGATTATCAATTTGATTCAATTCAATAGACGGCGTTTCTATTTAAGTTATAATTTCTAACAAAGTTATTTAAAAATGTGGTGGATTCTCATTTGAAATTGAACTACTCCCGTTTGAACT